TGTTAGCTCTATGAGCTCTGTCAGTTGTGTTAGCCCTACGAGCTCTGTCAGCTGTGTTAGCCCTACGAGCTGTCAGTTGTGTTAGCCCTACGAGCTCTGTCAGTTGTGTTAGTCCTACGAGCTGTCAGTTGTGTTAGCTCTATGAGCTCTGTCAGTTGTGTTAGCCCTACGAGCTCTGTCAGTTGTGTTAGCCCAACGAGCTGTCAGTTGTGTTAGCCCTACGAGCTCTGTCAGTTGTGTTAGCCCTACGAGCTCTGTTAGTTGTGTTAGCTCTATGAGCTGTCAGTTGTGTTAGCCCTACGAGCTCTGTCAGTTGTGTTAGCCCTACGAGCTGTCAGTTGTGTTAGCTCTATGAGCTGTCAGTTGTGTTAGCTGTACGAAGAGTGGAAATCCAGAGGTGGTCCTGTAGAGATAGAGTAGCGGCCCACGAGTGGTTGAGCGGTGCTCCAGCACCAAGCGGTGTGTTGCGACACTTACGGTCTAGTAATGGTCATTGGACGCTTACCCCGTGACCGTTAAGATCTGCCTAATGGTCCGGAGGGGAGCGCTCTAAAGACTTCCCCGCACCATACCTGTTTTACTGACATATTTCCAAGACGATTAGCCTTTCTTGGGTACTATCGTCGACTATCTTATCTGTGTCTCCAGCTTCCACCCGTGTCCTCTGGTCCTGCATCATCTGTGTCTCTAGCTTCCACCTGTGTCTTTTGGTCCTGCCTCATCTGTGTCTCCAGCTTCCACCTGTGTCTTTTGGTCCTGCCTCATCTGTGTCTCCAGCTTCCACCCGTGTCCTCTGGTCCTGCTTCATCTGTGTCTCCAGCTTCCACCTGTGTCCTCTGGTCCTGCTTCATCTGTGTCTCCAGCTTCCACCTGTGTCCTCTGGTCCTGCTTCATCTGTGCCTCCAGCTTCCACCTGTGTCTTCTGGTCCTGCCTCATGTGTCTCCAGCTTCCACCCGTGTCCTCTGGTCCTATCCCTCTCATTTTATAACATTACCACTATATCCACCGTCAATTTTCCTCAATATACAACACCAGCTCATCTGACGCCTGACCCTAGAAACTCATCTATATTATAAGCTTGTTATATGTTTACATTAGGAACAAATTTTATTGAATGATAACTTAAAACTACGTTAATAACAAAATGAAACAGTGGCAGATGTGTGTCAGCAATCCGTCCTCTTAAAAATAACGTCACTTTTCGCTCGTATTCGCGCTATGGCCAAAAGTGGACGTAATTTGAAATGAAATCGACTCACAAAAGTGACGTACTGTCCCGTTTTCTGTTTGAGTCGTCCGGTTTACTCGAACACGTTAGGAGAGGAAACTTTCAATTAATGTTTTTCATAACGTTTTGAAACTTTGAGAATTTCCTGCCCTCCTAATCTACCAGAGGGCCCTTAACTTACTGTTGTTGAAAACAAAATTCCCAAATTTATTTTAATTATTGTTTCATTTTCAAATTACGTCCATTTTCAGCCATACGGGTAAATGGCCAAAAGCGACGTTATTCTTAAGAGGACAGGTTGGTGCCAGAGCCTTCGTATTGTCGATTGTAAGGGTCTCTCTCTCTCTCTGTCTCTCTCTCTCTGTCTCTCTCTCTCTCTCTCTCTCTCTCTCTCTCTCTCTCTCTCTCTCTCTCTCATAATGTGGGAAAAAACCACCTTTATCCTCTTTGATGGACCAAGGAGTCAAGTCGGTGACCTTCCCGTGCGGGGAATTATTTAAGCGTCCCCAGAGGCCACATGCGCTATATCCAGCACACGACTTCTTTCCCAATATCAGAGATGGCGGGGAATAAACACATTCTTCTTCCCCCCTACACATAATGTCAAGGAACCATAGAGAAACTAAAGAATATAGGCCTGAGAATGTGTTGAAGAACACCAGAGCGCTCATGTTCTTATTCAGGTCGCTCACTATGGTAAGGCTTTCTGCGTCTCTCTCTCTCTCTCTCTCTCTCTCTCTCTCTCTCTCTCTCTCTCTCTCTCTCTCTCTCTCTCTCTCTCTCTCTCTCTCTCTCTGCCACACCCAGCACCTTATCACTCCCCGTGCCAGGTGTCACGATAAAGCTGTCATGGCGGTCCAGTGTTTTATGTAGCGCTTATATACATTAGTGTAGCGTCACCTGCTGCTGCTCTTTTTTTCCACACTGTGGCACAGACTGAGCGGCCTGTTCCACAGCCGCCTCCGACCACTTCGTAGCGGCACCTGGAACTACCTAAGGTGATTTGAAACTACCTAACTTGATCTGGAACTACCTAACGTGATCTGGAACTACCTGACGTTATCTGGAACTACCTAACGTGATCTGGAACTACCTAACGTGATCTGGAACTACCTAACGAGATCTGGAACTACATAACGAGATCTGGAACTACCTAACGTGATCTGGAACTACCTAACGTGATTTGAAACTACCTAACGTGATCTGGAACTACCTAACATGATCAGAAACTACCTAACGTGATCTGGAACTACCTAACATGATCAGAAACTACCTAACGTGATCTGGAACTACCTAACATGATCTGGAACTACCTAACGTGATCTGGAACTACCTAACGTGATCTGGAACTACCTAACGTGATCTGGAACTACCTGACGTTATCTGGAACTACCTAACGTGATCTGGAACTACCTAACGTGATCTGGAACTACCTGACGTTATCTGGAACTACCTAACATGACCTGAAACTACCTAGCAGGACCTGCGTAACGTGACGGGACCCAAATAACACATTTTTCCTATACAAGAGTGATCACCAATTCAATTTCATGTGAAATTGTATTTCTATTTGTATCTACAACTCGAAGCGTGAAGAGCTGTCTATTTGTCCTACTGGTGAAATGTTTTGATATTTGATCGGCATCGGTACCTAAGGGGTGGGCCAGCCCACCCTGGATGTGGTGGTGGGTAGGTGAGCCAGCCCACCCTGGATGTGGTGGTGGGTAGGTGGGCCAGCCCACCCTGGATGTGGTGGTGGGTAGGTGAGCCAGCCCACCCTGGATGTGGTGGTGGGTAGGTGAGCCAGCCCACCCTGGATGTGGTGGTGGGTAGGTGGGCCAGCCCACCCTGGATGTGGTGGTGGGTAGGTGAGCCAGCCCACCCTGGATGTGGTGGTGGGTAGGTGAGCCAGCCCACCCTGGATGTGGTGGTGGGTAGGTGAGCCAGCCCACCCTGGATGTGGTGGTGGGTAGGTGGGCCAGCCCACCCTGGATGTGGTGGTGGGTAGGTGAGCCAGCCCACCCTGGATGTGGTGGTGGGTAGGTGAGCCAGACCACCCTGGATGTGGTGGTGGGTAGGTGAGCCAGCCCACCCTGGATGTGGTGGTGGGTAGGTGGGCCAGCCCACCCTGGACGTGGTGGGGTAACAGGCGGTCCCCACAAGTGGTGACTCATACAGACACACATTTGGACAATTGTTTACATAAACATACATAATGGTACACATGTTCACCATAGGACACCGTCTACGTTAACTCAGCTCTTGATGAGAGTCTCAAGCTCTTTACTAGTGTGTTAACTCAGCTCTTGGTGAGAGTCTCAAGCTCTTTACTAGCGTGTTAACTCAGCTCTTAATGAGAGTCTTGAGCTCTTTACTAGTGTTAACTCAACTCTTGATGTGAGTCTCAAGCTCTTTACTAGTGTGTTAACTCAGCTCTTGGTGAGAGTCTCAAGCTCTTTACTAGCGTGTTAACTCAGCTCTTAATGAGAGTCTTGAGCTCTTTACTAGTCTTAACTCAACTCTTGATGTGAGTCTCAAGCTCTTTACTAGTGTGTTAACTCAGCTCTTGATGAGAGTCTCAAGCTCTTTACTAGTGTGTTAACTCAGCTCTTGATGAGAGTCTCAAACTCTTTACTAGTGTGTTAACTCAGGTCTTGATGTGAGTCTCGAGCTCTTTACTAGTGTGTTCACTCAGCTCTTGATGAGAGTCTCAAGCTCTTTACTAGTGTGTTCACTCAGCTCTTGATGAGAGTCTCGAGCTCTTTACTAGTGTGTTCACTCAGCTCTTGATGAGAGTCTCAAACTCTTTACTAGTGTGTTACCTCAGCTCTTGATGAGAGTCTCAAGCTCTTTACTAGTGTGTTAACTCAGCTCTTAATGAGAGTCTCAAGCTCTTTAAGAGTGTCATGACCTCTACGCTGTGAGGCCACTCTTCTCCTCCCCATATCTCATAACAAAGTGCTCTGTAATACTCCTCATTCCTCTAATTACCTCACTAACTACCCCTCATCACCTTTGTAACTGGTAGTATTTACATTTAGTGACTGTTATAAACTGATATTAAAACAAATATTATTAAAGGCGGCAATGGGGGGTGAACTAATTTGTAATTATAAGAGATGGTAATGAATTACCGTCCTTGTGGGAGGTGAGAGGAAGGTTCAAACTCCGAGGTTCTGTGTGGCCGGCATGAATCTATAGGGCCAGGGGAATTGTAATCAAATGTGGGTTGTGAGGGCCGTAGATTTGTGTGTGTGTTCCGTTGCGTGCTATTGGTCCAAACATTCAGATCTGATAGGAAAGAACTTACTGACTCCCAACGACCTGAAAGTACTAGTATAAAAAGCTATGATTTGTTCAGATCTGAAACCTACATCTATGGACAGCACAAAACGTCCACTAGACTGTGCGACACAGTGGTTGCAAGGATCAGGTTGGGTTACCGTTACCTGTGGCAGGTGGCTGCAGGTGACGGGTCTCCCAATCCTGAGCACTCCAGTTGCAAACTCTGTGAGCAGGAACTACGGCATGATCTCCCGCACTACATCACTGAATGCCCAGTTATTAGACCTTTCAGACCAGTTGGCATGAGGTACCTGGAGCTTTGCAATTACTTTATTCACTCTCGTATTCTTGAAGATATCCTCACAGTATACCCAAAATTTGCCAGT